ATCCAAAGGCAATCCATCAGATGCTTACTTTCATGGGGTTTACTCCCTTTTTTCAGTTTGTAAGTAGTATTCACTGTGCAGTTCTGTTAATTTCTCAAGGACTAAAATCACCTTTTACTTTACCACAAAACATACATGTTTTGTCCATCAGAAGGTGTAGCTTGATAGTGTGTAAAGCAAGGCTGATGCTCTTTGYCCATTCAGTCACCCTAAGGGCTGTAATCGTACGAGACCTGAATGCACTCAACTAACACTYGCATTTAATAATTAAAGAGGCAGTATTCATTTCTAGAGGACTGCAAATAAAGATATATTAGGCAGTTCTTGTGTAACATAATGGCCAACTGCCAGTACATTGTATTAGAGAAGGTATTATGCTGCTGCTGTTCCTAAAGAAGTAACTTCGATCCAGAATACAATAGTGCAACTACTGTCATGACTCATATTGAACGATTACTTTCTTTTGTGGTACAGGTTTTGTTTGTAAAATAAATTAAGAATGCACTTTGAAATAATGAAATTATGAAAGCAAGCTAAATCAGAAAGAATGGAGAATAYAGATCAATAAAGATAATTGCTACTTTAACCAGAACATGAAATAATATTCTTTTTCTGTAACCAGTTACCTTATAAAGCTGTGTTCATAGCACTAAATATTTTTTTTTATTGATTACTTTACCTTTCCATAGATTTTTATGGGGTAATACAGGAAATCAATTTGGAGAAGGAGAGAAAAGTAAGAAGATACATTAACCAACGTTTAACAGTGACTAAGCACAGAATGTCTTTTTCAAAGAGCTGAGAGGATGCTTTGTGATTGATGCTGTCCATATCTGACTAMTATCATCTCCATGCATAACTTTGTAGTAAAAGATAAGATAGCCTTGGAATTTGTGATTGTGAGAGATGTCTTAGACTGTTAATGAAGTTTAAAAGAAAAGATAGTGAATTTTGGCTAAATCTGTCTTCTCGAATGCATCACTTCAGGAATGTGTTAGTCCTGCAGAAGGTGCTGCCTCTTTGTGTTGTGCAATTGCTTTTGTTAGAGTTCTCTATGTGTCACACCACTAATGTTCTTACTTCCAGCTCTTTGTGTGCATGTAAAGTTGAGTCATGGGGGTTTTCCTCTTCTCCTGCATGAGCATTGCAGCTAAAGCATTTTTTTCTTTATGTAAATGTTGAAATGTTTAAAATGGGATGAATGTAAAACTGTTGAGTAATATTCTCTTTTATGGTATAAAAAGAAACCCTGCCATAGTACTTTTGTGAGTTGATATGAACATGTTCCATGAAGAATGATAGTCCATTCTCTTACTCATTTTCAGAAGGAAACTTTAATGTACATAGCAAAGTGATTTGGTTTTTCTCCAAGCCTTCATGCCATCTAGGTTCTGATAAAGTCCATGTATTAGTTCATGTCCATTACACTGCATTGTGAAGAATATATGTGGAAATGACCAAGGAAAGAACTGAAGAAGTCATGACATGCTCATTTACATAGGGTGTATGGTATTTATAAATGGTATTGAATGGATGAATTCATGTGGACCCTCCTGTAACATTTAAGGAATGCCTGTAGAGAATAAACTGAATGCTTTATTCACAAAAGTTTCAYTGTAGGTATGACTTGGAAAAGMACGGTTTCTGTGAGATTTTAACTTCTTGGTTAAATTTTCTTTGTTCAAGGCTCTTGGCAGGTTTTCTATTTGAAATCGAATTGAAACATTGAGTCCACAAAATGGTTGTTGCAGACAGTATGTTAGTATAATGAGTAGAAACCAGATTCTGGGCAGGTGCCATTATAGGAAACTTGACTGGAAGGTTTTACCTTTTTGGTTTAGGAACATTTTGTCATGGTTAAGACCTTCTCTCACACTTTGTAATGTGCAGTGTGATTGTCATTCCATATATTAATAAATTTAAGTAGTGAATTCTAGGTCTTGCAAAACCAGTCCCTGTTTCACACTTGGCCTTTTTAGTATAAACAAGCTTCAGAACAAAGCTAAACAAATGAAAATGAGTAGCCAGGATCTATTCTGGTGATATATTAATTTTCCAGGCCTCATGGTTTCTATTTCAAAATAAATACTCTTTGCTGTTTGTAGTATTTAGAAGAATTTTTTTCTTGGTTTTTAAGTGTCATGCTATAACAGCAGATGTAGAAGTTGTTTGAGGAGAGCAAGGGTATTTTTGTGCATGAAAGGTATGGTAAAAGTTTAAATCAGAGATTGCTGTGTCTATCTGAGCACTTGAAGGAAGCTACAAAAGAGTGAATTGTAATACTGAAATAGGTTTGTATTTGGTTGTGGATAYTGAACCTAGACCAAAGAAAGCGAAGTGCAGATAAGACTGAGGATGAGAGAGCAAAGCTTGTGGCAAAATCAAAGGGAACCTCCAAAATAAGAGGCTACACAGGATCTGTAGAGCCTCAGGCAGAGTAAGATCTACTCATTACCTCCAGTTTCTCACAAGCCACTTTGTGTCTTTACCAGTTCTAGTTGAAATTAATGTATGTTTTAAAAATGATATGTGAATATAAAGATCTGAACCTGTGCATCCTGGGTTAGGACAAGGGTTCAGATAAGTTAGTTCTAATATGAAAATGCTTGAGTAAAATTTGAAGGAAGGTAGGAGAAAGCTTTTTAGTACACAAGATCTTTAAATGATTTTTAGTTGTCCGCAAAATGAAAGTTTACTACATCTGTTTTAACAGAAGAAGCCAGAAATGTGTCAGATGACAGCTCTTTMTGGCAACACTAAAGAAGTATTTAAAGGTGTATAGGTTAGAATATTAGCATGAGTGCAGTGTCCCTGAAAGTTGCCTGATTGATCACTGCTTTGTATATGTGTATKTTTCCTGCTGCAGTATGGTAAGGGATACCTTTTTCCTAAAGTGGAAATCTAAGCAATACGAATAATACCACTTCAAAGAAAAAGTTTAGAAATACTTGAACTTTTTTTTTAACGCCACTCTGTATGAAGTTCAGAGTAGGAAGCACTCTGTTTTAATTTTAATGCAGATGGCACAGAAACTCTTAAGAATATTGTCACAGTATATATTTTTTTTTTAATAAATAAATTTATGTACAAAAATTTTAATAATATATTGTCACATGTGCTTTATGGTTAAGTACTAGAGGCTTAAAATCTAACAGCCACTTTCTATATGAAATTACTTGTGGCCTGGCTAGCAGCCAGAGTCCTTGCTTTGAATAAYAGAAAATATAGTCCCTTTTTAATAMTAAATTGYATCCATGCTTTTCCAAAGSAAGGGATTAGATGATCTCCTGTATGTCAGGGAATTGCACCTTTTCTTTACAAATTGTCCTGTAGAGACAAGAAGGAGCTTTCACCGTTATTCCCTGGAAGGCTGATGAGTGGCAGACTGCAGTGATGTGCTTTACAGAAATGACTGTCAGACAACAAGAGGGTTGTTGTCGTGACAAGTGCTTGTTTTTAGTACCCTTGCTGGTATTTTTTCTGAGAATACATTCCATGTGCTTCTTGCTYAGACTTCCCTTTTAAATTTCTTCAGAATTTAAGCTTTAGACAAAAACTTTAGTGAATGTTGAGCTGTGCAGGCTGAATTTTGAGTTGTTTCATCAGCCTGTAAAAAGGAAAGCAAACTCTACTGCCAGACACTTGCAGATCTTCAGGGCAGTTCCTTGTTTGTAATGACATGAAATGCTAATGATGTCCTTTGCTGCTTTTCCTTGGTTTCTGTCAATTAAGGGAACTATGATGYACATTTTCAGACAAACTTTCTCCTCCTACTGATCTGTGTACTAGGAATTTCTGGTGCTTTCTGGTTTGCTGGTTTTTCTTGTCACATCTAAAAAATGTGTATTTTGTGTGACAAATCTCTTCTTGTCAAAATTCTTAGAAAACCTGTAATATTGAGAGTGAATTTGTTTATTTCTTARCTTGTAGTGATGAGGACAAGCTTTTGGGGTGCAGTTCAATTYGTAGGATTGTGAATCCTCAACAGGATTCAGTACTTTCTTTTGGAATAGTACTTTCTTTTGGAATATCTGCCATTGTTGGTCATTATGGATATGGTGATGGAATTGGACAATTTGTCTTCTGATCCAATGTGGAATATTTTACTGCCTTTATTTTTTAATCAGGCCTAATCACTCTGTGATTTTGTAATTTATAATTATAAAMCAACTAGAGATATATTGAGGCTTAGATGACAAGAAGGAGTGTAGTTTAAAATATTCATGGTCTTGATTTAAAAAAAAGTCATTACTAAATATGCTGGCAGTAATTGACTATCYAAAGTACAGTTGCCATTAGATATTCTCTAGTCATAGGAGCTTTTTTAATTCCAGTACTTGGAAAAGGGTATTATTTGCCAATGAGAGTCTAATCGGACTTGGAAATGATACATTTTATGAGAATTATCCTTAGTATGCTCTGTGAATGTTTTTTATGCAAGGGACTTTTTTACCACAAGCACTTTAACGAAGCCTTCTCAATCAGGCAAGTTTTACATTCAGTGCAGTTTAATGGTGTATTTGTGATAGTGTATGTCGTGATTGCTGTGTGTATTTTAGTTCTCTTTTTTTGTTCTGTTAGCTGTAAAATAATCCTCTAATTGCACTCTGTGGAAAGACATAGCTAATACTAACATCAAAGTGAACACAGCAACCTGAAGACTACAGTGTATGATACAATCACAAACCTTTTTGAGTTGTACATTGCCAGACAAAAGATGTCAAGTTTAATAGAGARTATTCGTAGTAGCAACCCAAAAAACAGTCAGGTACAGTTACCAAAATTTGATGTATTTTTTATATAGACTTTCACACCAGTATGAAAGTTTTGTAAGAAAATTAGTCTGGTATTTAAAAAATTTTTCCAAAATGGTAAATTAAAATGAAATCTTGAGTTTGGKTTAAAGCCTCTTATGAAAAGGGTTGTGATTAAATGTGTTATGCAATGTTTATTGCCTACATTCTTTCTGTGRTGGTAAATTCTTTTTATTACTTCTACAGGTTCAGTACATGCCACATCAATAGCRGCTTCCAGAGTGGAGCAAGCATTGTCTGAGGTTGCTTCTTCTCTGCAAAGCAGTGCCCCTAAACAAGGTCCCCTGCATCCTTGGATGACTCTGGCTCAAATATGGCTTCATGCAGGTATTGTGATAGTAAAATTTATTTTCCTATGCCTTCTCCTTTCTTACTGGCCTAAGGACTTGCCGCCATCTGTTTCATTCAGAATCTGTTAGCAGATCATGCTTTTTCCCTGGGCGTGGCACTGAAACAAGCCAAGAAACAAAATGCACACTGGAGTTGCTCTGTGTGTAAGATCATATGTTAAAGACAAGGCACAAGTTTTTGAATGTAGCTGTTACCAGTAGAGTCCTGTCTTCTRTAGAACAAATGCAGCACTCTCTCCCTTATCCCTGGAAAATTTATTTTCTGGAGTACCCTTAGTACTTGGAAATCTAGATGTCCTTGCAGAGCCACAGAGTATTCTGATTTGGAAAGCACCCTCAAGGATCATCAATTCCAGCTCTTAAGTGAATGACCCATAAGGGCATGGAACCTGTGACCTTAGCATTACTAGCACCATGCTCCAACCAATTGTGTTAATCCCAGGGTCACTRATTGGGTGGAAAAAGATGTTTGAAGATTTTTGAATAGAGTTCCTGCAACTACAGAAGTTTAYAATACAAAATAAATAAGTCTGCCTATGCAGGGAAAGAAACAGTAGTAGTACTRTTCAGCAATCTGTCCCTTGTAGCTGTGATAATGAGTTCAGTTCTTGAATTCAGTTCTTTTCCTTCTGTTTTCAATAATGTAGAAGACTCAGGATTGTTTGTCTGAACATGGAGTCATCTTGAGTGGATTAGTATTGTTATGTTGTTTTTCAAGCCTCAAGCTAAATGCAGTATCACAAGTGTCTGTTACATAAAATTTTAACCAGAAAATGATGATCCAATGTATTTTTACACAGTTACAAATGTATAACACGTGATTATTTTTATTGGTAGCTGGATTAGAAAGATGTAATTTAAAAATCAGACAGYAATTGTTATGCTTTGCTCTGCTTTCAGAACATGGGGAAAAATGTCTTTAATGAGCTTTAAATCTTAAAATTCAAAAATTTAGAATTATTCTTCCTGTGAGATTGTAGAGACATAGAAAAATTATGTGGATAAATTGTAATACATGCAAAACTTAGTGGAAGGTACTTAYCCAAACACAGACTGTGTAAAAAAAATACAAAAATGCTCGTTCTTACTGACGTACAGTGTCATTTTGGCTGTCATTAGTGTAAATTGGTATCCAGTCCCACCAGAAGTTGGTTTTGCACACAGTGCAACTGGCCTTTAATTTTTAATCTGTTTTTTATTAATAGACTTTTTAATCCTTTCATTTTTGGACCTTTCATTTTTATAGTGTAAAGGTGGAAAATCAGGCTTATTTAAAATGTGAAACTAAATTACTTTTGCAATTAGTACATTCTCCAGTGACTCATTTTTTAAAAACAGACCWGTCCCTAAGTGATCGGTGGTTGTGATGGTCCTTTGAGAAATGCATCAARACTGAACTCGGTATTGCTGTGCTGCTTGATTGGAAATGCGTTGATTCCTCAATAAAATGCAAATGTAAGCGTTGGAAGTGTTTGAGCCAGAAGGCATTCTTGGCGTTACCTAGGTGGAGGTGCTGGGAAGAGCACATCAGACTTGGCACCTGCTTTCTTTTCGAACTGCTGCTCCTCTCTGAGATGTTCCCACAAAACCTGCTGGCACTTGTCAGTTTTCCACAACTGATTTGTTGGTTGCCATGATGATTTTTAACATTTTTATTCAGTTTGAAGTCTTATCTCAGAATGAGCAGCTCTCCTTTGAATTCAGAAGCTTCCTGAATGAACTTCCATGCTTAAGACTTAGCTACAAGTTTCACTTTCTAGTCTTTCATTCATGCACAGTTCTTCAAAAAGCCTTCTGTGTGGTCTGTTARCATGACTTCTGGTATAGGAAAGAAGTAGTTAAAATAACTACAATAATTTTAAACAATAAGGAATATTTTATTTGCATTTAATATTTTTACGAAGGTGTGTTAAAAACTGTCAGATTTTTCTGCTGCAGTTCATAAGGAGGACAGCAAGATTTAGTATCTCTTACGTTAGTATAAGATGAATTTACATTGCAGCTTAGTATTAAAAGCCATTACTATCATATTGGTTTCCTCTCAAGAAATACAGAATTTCAATTGTAATCTGTTAATATATATAGTCAATCTCTGCTTACTTTTCAGTCTAGAATTATTGTGGTAGCAGATAATGCTACTGAAGTAATTTTTAGTTTCTGCATATTATTTGCTAGTAATTATAGCTTTTATGTAGTTCCTTCTACAATCTGTGTAAATCGTGTTTTTCTGAACTTGTCCTCTTACCAAGAAATTTGGGAGTGTATATTTAAAACTATGTTTCAAGTCAGGTGATCCTGGAGAAGAGCTATTAAGACAGAAATAGCTCAAATGGTTAGCATTTTAGAAAAGCACTCCAGAATAAAAGTACCCAAATCTTTTCAAAAATACTCTAGGTTCTTAAAAAAAAACCCAAAAAAATCTCTCAGTACAATTCACATTTTGTGCTCTATGTCCAGCTTGCAAATCATGGCTGCCACTTGCTCCTTGGAGTCTATTAACAGTTAGTAAAAGTAAAATTCTAGAAAAAATATTTCCTCCTAAATTAAGATTTTGATTTCAAAATTTTATTTGTTTATTGTCTTCTAGAAGAAAGATTCTTGATATTCTTTAGTTATACTATGTCATCTTTGAGTAGGTGAGATTTTTTTAGGGTTGGAGTAGAAAGTGTGACTGAATCTACTGTTAATTCATCACATGGATGAGACTTTTTCCATCAAATAACATTTCAGTATTTTCTAAAAATATGCTGCATTAATCAATACATCCACATAGACATTTATGTTTGGTAGAATATGTTCTGTGAAATCACCAAGGCAACTGAGAAGCAAAATAATGCTCTTCAGGTAGAAAAAGATCTGTTCTACCACCAATAGGATCAGGTCTTACAGGAAGAAAAGAATTTACTACTGAAACAATATTAAAATAGGTTAGAAAAAAAAAGAAAGGAGAAGCACCTTTAAACTACTAAGCTTTTAAATTGAAAATCCATGTTTTGTTAGTCAGTGTTATAAATTGATTTTTATGAAAATTATTATGAATATTCTGAGCAGGTTTCACTTGTAAGTTATAATTTGTACATTCTACTATACTGAATTTGGCTAGTGTGAGATGCTGTGAAATCTGTTGGATGCAATTTTTTCATTWACAAGCTCCTTTAAAGGTACTCAGATATCAGTCTGATCCAGAGTTTTAGGCATAATCCCAAATCCACTGCTGTAGTGTGATTTCCTGATCTGAAAGCCTTTAAACCAAGATGGGTGGTCTGTACAGCACAGTGACAAGCACGTCATGAGCAGTGGCAGATCTCTTTGCTGTTCTCATGCAGCAACTTGATTTAAACTTTAATCTATAAAASCCTTGTACAGTGTGACACAAGGGAATGTAGTCACACAATTACTTTGAGGCTCTATTTTTATTTGTKCTGTACCAATGTAAAGGAAAAAATCACCAACCCAAAACCTTAACAGCTTTTTCTCACATTTAGTATCTCTTTATTYCTCTCTTCTCCCACTCTTTCAGCAAGGGATTAGGATGAACCAGCAAGGCAGCGAAATAGCAGTGTTGAAGAATCKAAGAGTGTCTTAAGAGCTGCCGAAGGCAAATACTTCTATTGTTAGTTGTTAATTATTCACTGAATGAAGCCTTTTTCCTCCTATAGTCAATCTGATTTATATAAGTGTGTGTCAGGCTATTCAACTGATTTAAAGAGAACCAGAATACTCACATGCTCACATCTTAAAAATAAAACTAAAATGAAAAAATACAAGACTTACGATAAAAATAGCTATGAAGAGTATTCTGGGGTTTAAAACAACCATTTAGAATTTGTAACTCCTAATGTACTTATAAAAGCAACTTTCCTGAAAGAATAATTAATTTAAAATAATTTAGTTATTAGTTTCCCTTTTAAGATACAAATTTTTTTTAAGAGAATAGCCTTGATTTAAAGTGAAACTATTTACAAATACATCACGTAACAAATCTAGTCATGGCATGATGAAGCAAGAATCATTAATTGGTCCTGACATTCCTTCCACAGCCGAAGTCTACATAGGAATTGGGAAGCCTGCTGAGGCCACAGCRTGTACCCAGGAAGCAGCCAATCTCTTTCCAATGTCCCATTATGTTCTCTACATGAGAGGCCARGTGGCTGAACTCCGTGGGAATATTGATGAAGCCAAACGGTGGTATGAAGAGGCCTTATCTATTAGCCCTACCCATGTGAAAAGCATGCAGAGGCTGGTAAGTCTTGAGCCCATGTTCGTAAGCAGTGTCATCTCAACTGATGATATTGTATTGTGAAGTCTTGATTTGGTGTAGATAACCCATAACTTGTGAGTTTGGGATCTATATTCTTATTACAAAATGCTTTGGGAACAGTCTTGCCAGGCATTTATTCTGTCTTACATGTGTTGGGACGTAAAAAGGATTTGCAGGCCATAAGAGAATTTCAATCCCAATAGAGACCATAGAAGAAGTAATTTGCAGGTGGCTAAAATACTGAGTGCCATTGGGAAATGAAGGTGGCTTATGGTAAGAGAAGAGTAGAATACTGTAGTTGGATACCATACAGGAAAGACCAGTCATTTTGGCATTCMAAAAAAAAGTTCAATTCATAAAACCATAGAATATTCTAAATTCTTYTAAGGATCATTAAGTTCAACTCCTGGCCCTGCACAGGGCACCCCARCAGTAACACTGTGTGCCTGAGAGCATTGTCCAAACACTTCTTACCTCTGTTAGGCTGCTGCTGTGACCATTTCCTAGAGGAGCCTGTTCCAGTGTGCAGSCACCCTCTGGRTGAAGAACCTTTYTCTAATATCCARCCTAAACCTTCCCTGACACAASTTCAGGCCATTCCCTCAATCCTGTCACTGGTCACAAGAGAGAAKGAATCAGTGTCTGCTCCTTCTCCTCCCCTCTTAAAGAAGTTGTGACTGCAGTGAGGTCTCCCCTCAGTCTCCTCCAGGCTGAACAGACCAAGTGTCCTCACCTGCTCCTTGTGCTGCTTCCCCTCAAGACTCGTCACCATCTTCATTGCCTCCTTTGGGTGCCTTCCAGTRTCTTTATATCCTCCTTACTTCGTGGTGCCCAAAATGGCAYACAAGACTKGAGGCCACACCAGTGCAGAGCAGAGCTGTTTTCTGCATTCTGCATGTTCATTGATTACCTTCATGCTATGAGATTTCTTGGGTTTTTGAAAAGTAGAGAATTAGTCTTGCCCTCAAATGAATGTGTAACTTTAAATGCAAAGGTGCCTTGCCCAGTATAAATGTTTTTTTTTTTAATACTCTATAGATACATACATRTATATATTCTATGCTTACTATGTTAGGAAAATTACTTTTTTAAAATCCAGTTTTCTTTTTGATAGAGCAGAATAGAACAGCTGAAATCAGCTTCTTACCCAATCTTTTTTTCAGAAGTAGAAGCTGGTTTCTGCCTAGACATTTATGAATTATTCAGAGAAATTTCTTGTGCATCCCTGAGGGAAACATATGAGACAAAAGATCAGATAGGAAGGCAGCACAGGGAAAGTTTTTYGTTTCACCTTTTCAGCATTTCAGGATATTTGAGCCTGCTGACAAATGCCAAAAGGTTCCTTTTTCTGAAGAAGAAGGCAGTCAGTCTAAAGTAGTGCAACTCAGAGAAAACGAAAACTTAGATTTTGCTGGGTGTCTTTTGCCCTTCTCTGAATGCACCTATGAATAAATAGTCTGTAAACACACAGTGCTCTTCAGAATGATTGAGAAATTAGCTGTCTAAAAGGCATGTGAGATKAAAATTACTGGGCTTCCAATCCAGGTTTCCTATTTATGGGGTTTTCTGTTTGAGTCCTAGTTTGAAGGTAACTGTTCATTTCATTGGATTGGACAGTAGTTTTTAAGGATTCTTTAAGTTTAAAATTTTGTTTCTAAGAGCTTTCTCTACTTTTCTAGATCCTTTTTACACTAGGAYGTTGTTTTGAGTAAATTCTGAGAGATTCATGCTGCTTAAATACAAACATTCAAAATGTATGCTATAAAAATACTTGTCTGTGTAATTTCATGTAGGAGAAAGTACAAGATTCTGTACCCTTCTTGACCTTTTGACTATTGCAAAAAGTATTTTAATGAGGAAGTTTGCAGTGTTTACTCTTGCCTGTAGGTATAGATTAATATCTGTACATCCCAACACTTTGTTTTTACGTATTTACCCATTTATTACGAAGAGATATGATCTCTGTGGCAGGGGAGTTATAGCAACAGCAATGTGGAGGTATCAGACTCTATGACAACAGCTGAAACATTAACTTCTAATATATTTTTTTGCAATTCTAAGCTGACAATTCATGAATGAAAGTTCTATGTAAAAAAGCCTTATTTTCTGTGATTAATTTGATATTTTATTTTTTTTTAATACAGCTTTCTAGCATTGTTTAGAAATTAGTATAAAATGCTATTGCTCCCACACAGAAGTTACCTTAGAGCCTATATTTATTTAATAAGTTTTGGTGAATTTCTTTTTGAGTGGCATATATTACATACAGTTCTTAATAACTTTATGCATAAAATGCAACAAAAAGGAAGTAAGATTTAAGGATGGCATGCATTCTAGCATGTAAYATATGTACCCAGGCCTGCCTCTCCAAGTGAAATTACTTAAAAAAGTTGAACCTGAAATCAGTTTGGAAGGACTTTCTTTAATTTTTATTAAAATTTTAGAATGAGTGACATCTGGCACTGAGTAAAATTTCCTGATGCTAATGGTTTAGAAATCTGAATATTTAATTTGAAAGAGTCTTTGTAGTTGTCCAGAGGAAAACCAAAAGAGCTAAATAAAATGTTTATTTAAATTTGTAGTAACAACAATAGCATATTGGGAATAGGAGTTTTCTCCTTTTATAATCCATTCTTTTAATGATGTTACAGCACTCTGGTAAGAAGCATAAAAAGCTAAACTTTGAAAATTTTACTATTTTTCATATAACATTTCATACAGTATTTTGGCCATAAGTCTCTTTAAGTACTTGTTCCTGAATATGATCTACTGTTTCTACACATAAGCTGCCTTATTAATTTRAATTACTGAAGAAGCAGTAAGCAGAAGCAGAAGAAGTGAATAAAGACCAGAAAGTTTAGTTTTGTGACTTCAGAAATGTTTTACTTCTTCTTGTGAATTACTGCATGTGCCGTGCTTTGGAGTTTCTGCATAAAGACTCTTGCATTTGTCTCATGTGCAGACTCACATTCTGTTAGTGTGACCATGAAGACAGGCTCTCTGCAAAAGTCTACTGTATTATCTGAATGAAGTTACTTCTTATGGGCTGCATCATCATCATTTTTGCAAAATTACAGTTTTCTAAAGAAACTATTTCTTACTTACTTTACTGTTGTCTCTAGGGTCTTCATTGATTTACTCCTGTTTCAAGAGATTTATTAAAATAAAAACCAGGATGCCTTGGTGATGGTGTGAAAATTGGGAGCAGTTAAGACTGATTAAAGAGATGTTTGCCAACAAAATGATAATCATAAGTGGGAGGGTTTGGGGGATGGTTTTTACCTTGCTAATGAAATGCCTCTGACAATGGAACTCCAAATGTTGGGGACTTGATCCATGAGTAAATGAAGAATGGTTTAGCTGTATTCTGCCTAACTAAACTTGGGAAGTGGAGCTGTTTGGGTCATACTGTTGCATTACCTAAGGTGGGAACTCTTCCAACAGAGAGCTGGCTGCAGGGGCAGTGTGTTTGTGTTTGTGCTCACTGCTATTTCCGCCCCTTCCAAAGTGTTGGGGAGCTTATTAATTAATTAATTAATCAATCAGCCAAACAACAACATTAGTTATTTCCAAGAGAAATGCTGTTAAAATTCTCTGTGGTTCCTTGTGGAATTAAATTATTTCCCATAAGTTAATTTTTTGATCCATACATTCATTMATTTTATTTTGTTGAGCAATGCTCATTTTAAGCTCTGCCTTGTTCTCAGGTGCTATTTTTTACTRTTTGTCACTAACTGAAATTTTCTCCAAGCAAAAGGTTACACCAGCTTGCTATTTGGCTAGCTCTGACTGCTCACAAGATGTCAAGAGGAAAGCAATAACATGTCAGTATTAATTAGGTGTACTTTACAGAATGCAGCAGCAATGCTTTTGAACAAATGCAGTGTCCTTTCTTCTTTTTAAGGTCTGTATAGTGCACTCAGAAAAAACAATGTGAACTTGTGTTCTAAAGTTTTGAAATGCTTTGGTTTGTTTTCTGTATTTCAGATAATTTTTTCTCACACCTAATGAAATCCAAAATTTTCTTTAATTACTTAATTTAAAAATGATTATTCACCCTGCAAATCTGTGTCATATACCTATGGTTGTCACCTGCCTGATTTTGGCCAAAATAGATTTATTTAAACAATTTTCTCCATTCTCCTTACCCATTATCACCACCCCCAGATTTCTGTATTACTGCTGCCTTCCTGCTTTTGTCATTGTTTTCCTCCCTTGTGAAAAAAAAAGAATAAACATTCTTTTATCTCTTGCAGTCAGAGTGCTGTGGTGGAAAGTAGCACTTACTGCTGACGTCTGAAAAGTCCTGAAACAGGCCATCATTCAGTAAGGCCTGAAATGGCAATGAATATTTCAATCCATTGTCCAGGAAACAAACCTGTGTATTCTCTCTCAGGCTAAAAATTTCTTACCTAAATGTAGCTTTGACATGAAATAGGTATGCAGCATTGGTATGTTACTATAATCCCAGAAGACGGTAGTATTTTCTGAATATTAAGTAATTCCTCATAGCAATTGCCAGCTAATCCTGCTAGTAGCTTAGGTTCTATGGGCAGAAAACTAAAACAGAAGGGGAAAAAATACATAAACAATGTACTCATGGAGAAATTAGTTTTCAAAAAGCAATATTTTAGAGAGTTACATTACCTACTTACACAGCTGGGTTAAAGTTTCCTATAATTATGCATAGTTAAACCAGATCTCTTTAGGTTTAGAGTAATTAAGTGTGCTTTATCTCTCAGTTGTAAATATATTCGTATTTGTTTCTAACTATACTGACTTCTTACATTTTCTTTTCAACCCAAAGACACTGCCAGAAAGAAGTCTGGCAGTATGAATAAGTAGTGTGTGCTTATGAGCCTGTCAAGGATGTTGAGTTGACTGAAAAAAAGGAAAAACAGAGACTTTAGAAACATGAATTCAGATCCTGTTTGAAGGGGTCATGGGAGTTAAGGAAGAGAAAGTCTAAACACTGTCACCCA